AATGTCTTGTTGCACTTCGTTAGTAATTTCCGGATATTTAGAAATAACGTTGTAAAAAGGTAAAGATTTATCTATAGAGCTAATGTCAGTAACCATAGCTTTTTTAAGAAAATAATTAACATTTTTAACGGAATTCAGATCTGTTAATTTCCTATTTTTTAAATCTGATGATAACCCGAAATGTGATAGAAAATCGGCACCGATAATAGGGTAGGGTACCGAAGCGATACAAAAATTCCAAGGTAAATTTCGACTTAATCCAACATCAATGGACAAATCCCGTCTTCCGTATGTATTTATTTGCGTATTGTTCGCAGCATAAATTACATAGGCGAAACAATTTCGTTTAGCCTGGGAATTTACTGGAATTATTTAAACATCTGAACCGGTGTCTATTAAAAATATCAACCCTGTTGTACGGTTTTGAATATTTAGACGATTAGAAAAAGAAAAGTTATCTATCGTGTTGATTTGACACGGCCATTTTAGTTTCCCGATGACGAACTACCTTGCATGGCACATGGTGGTACACATTTGAGTGCTTTATCACCGAATTTGAAATGGTAAAAACAAAGTTGAGAATTTTTCTTATTATTATTTTTAGAATAATTAGTTCGATTAGAATTTTGTTTTTTAAAATTTGTATTTCTATTAAAATTTTGTATTGTTATTAAATTTTCTATAATTGGACGATTTACTTTTGTCCCTTTTATTATAGTCTTCAGTACACTGACTTGAACGGAACCTGTTTGGAGCGGAAATGGCATTAACCTTAGCTGATAACGCTTCGATCATTTTTAGCAGTTCATCGTGGGAATTCTAGGAAGCCACTGCAGAAACCTGAGAAGTGCTCGGTCCCGACGCAAAATTCGAAAAAAAAACTTTAGGACTTAATTATCTGGAACTATATAAAAATAATTCTTAAAAAAGAAAAGAAAATATATCACTTCTGACGTTAATTAATAAAAATATTTGATCGTTTAACACAAACGAGCAATGCACAATGCAAATTAGACGATCACACACATATAATATCAAGACGAGACAATTGTCAAAGTTAAAATATCGCAAAAGCGGACGCTGTTATAAAAAAATGAAATAAATAGTACCTAGCAGAGTAATTGACCAAAGTAGCAAAATAAATTTTATTTATTCTCATAGAAAAAGAAAAAAATTTTAAATGTTGAATGTTAGGATTGTGTTTGAAGGATTAAAAAGAAAATAAAATTTTTATTTAATTTTCATGAAGAGAAAAAAAAATTAATTAAATACAACTGAGCAAAAAAAAGAAAAATAAATAAATTTCCTATATAAAAATTTTTTTAAAAAAATAAATAAAATAGGAGAATTGACAATTAATAAATTATGTCAGCTATGGTTATTTCAAACAACTGCTGTCCGGAGATGGTCGGGAACCACTTTATCACAATACTTTCAAAAATTGTAATGGGCCCGACCAAAAATACGCAAGAAAATCTTGAAGATGCTTCGGAACCTTTAGTCCTTTGAATATGATGTAGAGCTGCCTGAACTGGGTCCTTAACGTCAACGTCGACACGCTGTAGCCTTGGCGCCTTATGGCTAGTTCCGTGGAAATGCCGGAGGTTGATTGGACTCGAGCGTGGAAAATTTTGTCAAATTTAAAGAAAAGGAAAACTGTTACTGCTAAACAGGGAAAAAGAAGCATTATGCACCTGTTGCATGGGCTCAGAGTATTCTGCCCATGCGCCGTTTTCCAAAGCGTGTGTTATAAAAAATCCCAGCTCTTCAGGAGTGTATATATATATATATATATATATATATATATAAAGCTGTTAGTAGGGTACTATAAAAATTTGCAATCCGGATATTCGGACAGTTGATTTCCATCGATTAAAACTGTCCAGCATGCTGACTTGAAAGACTTCCTTGTTTAAAATTTTTAAATATTTAAATGAGCGTCCCTGTTGTCTGGAACCAACTGCGAAAATTATGAGATTTAAGTGCAAATAAAATTTTTTTTAAAACAAAAAATGTAAAAAAAAAATTTTGGTTGGTGGAAAAAATCTTGGAAAAAGGGATCCGGTGATTTTTAATTGATTAAATCAGATAATAGCGGAAAAGGAGAAGGCGAGTGAAAAATTGATGCCGTCTTCACTGAAGCGCAATGGCGTAGCGTCTCTGGAACATGTGCTCTGACTCCTTTTTCTCTTTCGTCAAAGCTTTTTAAATGGAACTTCACTATTATTTGTAATTTTTTTGCAGAAAAAATCTTCGGAAATTTTCTTTAGGCACTGTTTTTTTTATTACTTTATTAATGAGTGCACCTCAACCATGCCGTCACCATACATATAATGACGTGGCGTCACTTTGAAAAAAATCGTGCTCCGAAAATAATTTTTCGTGTTCCAACGAAGTTTTTCTTTTTTTATAAAAACTTTTCACTCATGAATGTCCATTATATTTTATTTTTATTTCCACTGATCGCTCTTTAATTTTTCCGGATCACTTTGATTTTCCACAATCCTTTTTTAATCGAAGGGGTCACCAATGTGGGATTTCTATTAGTTAATAAATAAATAAATATTGTTAATATCAGTAGAAGGGAATTCTACAACTTCGTGTCCATTTAGGCTGATGTGATTTAATCAATTAAAACTCAACACTTAATATCATTTATTAATTATGACGCAAGTATGCGTTATATATCACGCGTAGTTCCAGACCAACTATATCTATAATCTCCATGGATATAAACATGTTATAATTATTTATGTTGTGTAAAAACATAGTAACGAAGTAAAATTAGTAATTGCAAGTGAATATAAATTATTAAACTGTTTAAATTTTATTTTAATTATGGTTATGATAAAAATATACTTTAATAATATGGTGATTCTCTGAAAATTTTTACAATGATGTGCGATTACGTTCGCCCATAACTGCTTTCAACCTATTGCAAACAAAATTTAATACGTTAAATTCTGATTTTTAATTTTAAAGAAATAAAACAGAACAAAACCGCAATACTTACATATAATGTACTAAACTATGAACAATAAATATACCGTGCAATTAATTTTGTGCTATAAAATTTTTAACTTACCGTGTTTGCGGTAAACCAATGATGCTCGGTATTGCCTTTAACACAATTTGTTTTGCAACCTTTAACAGAACAACTAATCATATTTCCTTATTTTTCTTTAAATTATTTACAAAAACCATAAAAAAACAAAACGATATAAAAACAATCAGTTTACGCAGGTTATATCACGGCAGCCATTTTGCGAAAGTTCAATGTGTTATGGAGCGTTCACAGCTCGGCTGCCTGCGCAGGCAACAATAAGAGTAACAGAGATAGACAATTAGAGTAAAACAGAAAAAGCATATTTGTGTCTCTCTTACTCTAACTGCTGCCTGCGCAGGCAGCTGAGCTGTGAACGCTCCATTAGTAACTGTATGTACACATTTTTTGTCAGTGTGGGTAACTAATGTCGGCACAAAAAGTGTTTGTCCCTAAGAATTGATCGACTTTGCAGAATGATAACTTAAGAAAAAAAATCGTAGAAATTTAAGGTAAACAATTAAATAAGCCTTGTTATCTACGCATAATTTGATATGTAACTCATGTAATGAAAATTTTATTTTCTATTTTATTAAGTAATATGCATAAGAATGTCGCCTAAAAATGGGACTTTTTAATACTTTTTTCAAGGCCAAGCCTTTTTGGACCTTTAAAGACATAATGTAGCAAGTGGCACTAAATTTTTTTCGACGTTGTTTTTTAATGCAATATGCAGCGCAGAAAATCGGTTTTTTCTTTAATTCAGAAAATGATAATTAACAACTTGTTAACTTACATGCCTTAGAATTTTTTACTAAACAGTTTAAAATGTGAATTGATACGATATCTTTATTAGCAATTGATATAGCAACGTTGAACATAAATTTTTATAACATTTACAAATATTAATATTTTTAAGTTCAGTAAACTTCTTTGTATAGGGAAAAAGTTGACAATTTTGCTATAAAATTTGTAAATTTTTTGAGTATTATTATTATGGAAGGAACAGGTGAAAGTGCATTAATTTTAAGAAGGCCCATTTTAAATAAAGTTTTAATGATTACTTGACTAAATCATAGTAATTATAATGTAGAATAATAATATGTAAAATTAATAATATAATTCATGAAAAAATATAAAATTAAATCTTATACAATTAAAATAATTAAATAATCTTTTGTACACAGGTGTACTATAAATGCATGTTTTTTCTCTGCGTGTAGGGTGGGGATAAGTTAGCGTGTGCAGAGGGTTAAAAAAGGATTATTTTATTAATCTGTCTGTTTTTTTAATCAACTAATTAAAATAATATCTACTTATCTCACTTAATTTTTAGAAAATTCCTTTTTTACTCAAAAAATCACTTTTTTAAAACGGCTTGACGAATTTTGCTCAAAATTACTTTACACACTTACTATTTTTACCGTCCTGAATCAAATTCAAGAAGAAAAAATTGCCATTTAATATTGGTTCAGGCACGCCGTGCAAAGCAATTAACCAAAAAAAGCGAAAATTTTAAACAATTTATTATAAAACCCCAATTAATCAATGCAAAATATTATGAACAATTGCGTTTTAATTTAGTGTAAAATATTAACTTGTTTTTCTACAAATTTCTATGATATTTCTCTGATTTCCAGGTGATACAATTACACCAAATTATTTTTTTTTTCTATTTTTTATTTTAATTATTTTTATAGAAGACAATATTTTCACTTACATTTTTTACTTCAAAATTTAATTTTACTTTATTTTTACCATGCTACATTTTTGATACTTTATTTTAATTTTGGAAATTCTTTTCACACTTCTACTAGTTTTTTTACTACACTTTAGAGTCTGTTATTTTTGACATTCACAATATAGTGCCTTTTTCTTAAAATAACTCCGAAATCTGCTAATAATGCAGAGCTTGAAAGTAAAATTAAATAAATTTATGTGGAATTTTTCTTTCTAGAGATCCAAAGTTACTTGTACAGCTAAAAGCACATCGAAACACAGTACCTGTTCCTCGTCATTGGTGTTTTAAAAGAAAATATCTACAAGGTAAAAGAGGTATTGAAAAACCGCCATTTGACTTACCGGATTTTATAAAACGAACAGGAATAACTGAAATGCGCGCTAGCTTACAAGAGCGTGATGACACAAAAACTTTAAAAGCAAAAATGAGAGAAAGAGCACGACCAAAAATGGGTAAAATTGATATTGATTATCAAAAATTACATGATGCCTTCTTTAAATGGCAAACAAAACCAAGAATGACAATACACGGTGATCTTTATTATGAAGGAAAAGAATTTGAGACACGATTAAAAGAAAAGAAACCTGGTGAATTGTCTGATGAGCTACGAACTGCTTTAGGAATGCCAATTGGACCAAATTGTCATAAAGTGCCACCACCATGGTTAATTGCTATGCAACGTTATGGTCCGCCTCCAAGTTACCCAAATCTTAAAATTCCAGGTAAGTAATTATTTTAGAGAATTGAAAGAAAATAAATATGGCCGTAGTGATGCATTCGATCGACACGATATAGAAAACGACCGATTTTTGTTTTTATTCTTATGTCAAAAATCGATACGATAATAAATCTATTGTTTTTCGACCGAGACTATCGCTATGCAAGCGAGAGTTCCGAGATTCTCGGATCTGTTTTATTTGTACACTGAAAAAAGGATGTAAGACAATCAGTAGTTTATTAATATGACTATCTATTATAAAAGAAATATTTAAAAATAATTGCCGTTTTGTTAACCAAATATAAAGATAATAAATTCCTTTAAATTTTATTTAATTATTTAAAGGCATAATAGTTTGTTGGGCTAATAAGAAATATGACTAATTTTTTGATCATTTAAAACCTAAATTTTAATGTCAAAAATTAATATTAATAATAATGAACATCAATTTAATTAATAAAATATCGATTGTAGTCTATATTGTATTGAATAATTTTTTTAGTGTAATATGAAAAATGATTATTTAAAGTCGTATTTTCTAAAATGAATTTTCAACATTAAACTTATGTTTTCTTAGTTATTTTTTAAATGAAATAAAATAGAAGCATTAGAAAATGTGAAATTTATATTTTTAAAAGATTGCAGATAAGAATCAAATTTTTATTCCATTAAAATTAAAGATTTTTTCTAATAATTAATAAATTAAATATAACAAAATATTTTATAAGGATACTTTGTTTTAAAAAATGCAATAACAGTATTTCTAACTTAAATTACATTTTTTTAAATTTTATTTTCTTAATAAATTACAAATCAAAAGAAAAGAGTATAATAATTATATTGGAGCAAAATGAACAATCATTAATGAACATATTTAAAACATAGTTGAGAAAGCCTACAATAAAAATTTTATTTTATTGCAATGAGCTAAAAGATGAAAACTCTTTTCGGGCTGTCCAGCTATTTAAACAAATTAGCTGACGGGATGTATTGCTTCCAAGTTTATTTCGATGTTTGCGGATTGTTAGGGAACACCTAGAGAAAAGTCGCTCTACGGGTACCGAAGTTGCTTGTATGCTTAAAAAATCTGGGGCCATTTTAGATAAATTTGGATACTGTTCTTCGTGATTTTGCCACCATTCTAAAATGTCAGTACTTTTATCTGCACGATTCATATTCAAGTAAACATCAAGTTCTTCTCGCCATTTTCCTTCTTTTTGGGTAGATGAGCTGCTATTTCTTAATCGTTTGCTTGGAATTTCAGATGAGAAAAGAGCTAAGGGATCAAAGTCATCATCGATATTATCATTTATCTCATTATTAGGTTGAAATTCACTTGTTGTCTCTACTTCCTTTTGATAATATTTATTCTTATAAATGTCTTCAAACTTTTTGATAGACCTTTTGGCCAATTCTTTTCCCCACTTGGTTAAATAAAATGTTTCCTCTTTGTGTCTAGGATCGAGTAGTAAGACTGCACAATAAATCCAATTGGTTTTCTGGTAATGTTTCATCAGTTTTTCATAAGCTGACTGAAGACCACCTTGAATCCTTAGATCAGTTACATTTTTATTTGATTTAGTCTTAAGATTTGCGAGTTCATTTACAATTTTATCAACCCGAGTATCAACCAACATGTTGAAGCCAACGACAACAATAGGAAGAGTGGCATATTTTTCACCACATAATAAGTTTGATAAACTCTTAAAATATCGTAAATATTTTACGACAGACTCAAGAAGATCCCAATCAGATTCTAATATCTTTAAATTGTAAAACAGCGGATCAGTTTCGCACAATAAAATCAACGCTTTTTTAAGCTTTAAAGCTTTATCGATCATATCGTGTGTCGAGTGCCAACGAGTTTTTACATCAATTGTGGATGTTAGCATTTTAATTCCTACAGTATCACAACAACACTTTAATTTTTCTTGTAATTTTTCTAAATACTACAATTTTATAAATAATGTTTTTAATTTTGCTACTGGTGAAGCATCATTTGGTATGTCAATATCATTTTCACTTTCCTGATCATTGTTTTTGTAGTGATCGTCATTATTAAAATGATTGTCGTGATCGCCATCATTTTCGTGATCATCATCATTGTCGTGATCGTCACCATGATCATTTTGGTAATCGTCCAATTCTTCTTCTACCTCGCTTTCAATTTCAAAGTCAGTATCTACTTGTAAATTTAACTCCTTTAATAAATCTTGGACCGCTAAATTCAAAATATGTGCGAAGCATTTAAAATGCAAATCTTCGGAAGAAATATCCAGATTTAAGAGTGATTTTAATTCAGAAATAAAGGTTGAGTTAGAAGAGTCGTTATCCAAAGTAATCCCCTGTACTTTATTTTCTAAACCATTCTCCTTTAGAAATTTATGAAAAGAATTTGCGGTACTTTTTCCAGTATTTGTTCCGTATGATGGAATCAAATCTAACGTTATGGACTGTAGATTCCATTTGTCATCAATGTAGTGTCCTATAATTAAATTATTTATTTTACATACAATTTTTTTACTTTATTTATTTTTTATTTACAATTTACAAATTAATATAAAATTAATTAATTAAACCACTTTTAATGAAATTTAGATTAAATATTAAATGAAGCTTAAATAAAAACATTATTAATAAGAACTGTATTAGAAAATGTGAACTTTATATTTTCTTTTATATTTTTTATTTTTATTATAAATTATGTTTAAAAAATAAGTTATAAAAGGAATTAGGACCGATCTTAAAGTTTCAAGGCTAAATTTTTATTTATATTAAATAACTATAAAAATATTTAATTAATGTATGATCTTTCGAATCAGTTGAAATTATATACATTATGTTTATATTTAACATTTATAATTAAAATAATATAATATCATATAATAATTAATGTAGTATTTAACCTGTTATTCCATTGAATGATTTTTGTGCTATGGAAGTCCATCCATCTACAGTAAAAGATATTTTAGACGAGATTTTTTGTAATATTTCTTTCACTTTTATTTGTAAGTCCGTAAATTTTTGATCAATCATTATTCGCAGCTGATTACGTTTAGGCAATACGGCATTCTTATTCAAATAGCTAAAATATTGTTGTGTTATTTCATCGTTGAAAAAATTTATAGGCAAATATTTTCTTGAAATCAATTCAACAGTCATGTCTTCTAGTTTTCTTTGGTTAAACGTCTAAACAATATTAAAAGTTAAATGTTTTTTATAATTTTAAAATAGTAAAACATTTATCATTATTTATTGATTAAAATGTACGTTCTATATCATTTGACATTCAAAAGTGTGACTATTTTCTAGCTTAATAATGTTTTTTGAATAAAATATTTAATTTTTGATAACTATTAAACGTTAAAAATTTTAGTTTTTATTGCTTTAATTTTATTAACTTTAATATACTGATAAATTTAACTTAAAAAAGTATTGTTTTAAATGTTTTACTATTATATTGTATTTATTCATTAAAGTTTATTAATTTTATTTAATATTTTATTTAGTTATAATAATACTATTTTAATTCATTTATAAAGTTTAATTATTACTTCTGACGTAGCTGGCGATTTATCTGGAAAAGCCTTGGTGAAATATTCCTTATGGTATAGTTTAAGGTGCATAGTTTCCATCTTTCATTTTAATTATTTTGATTGTTTTATCTTTTTCTAAACATCATTTACACTTCGCGAATTTATCATTTTCTTCTGTATGTCCGAATTCAAATACTTCCATCATTACTTCTTTCTTCTTTTTTGCACTCGACGAAAAATTAATCTGACCAGGCTCCAAATGAAATTCTTCACTGAATAATAATAGGTTAAATATAGTTATCAATTACATAATTTTAATATTATTATTATCATTATTTTTTTATTATTTTTGAATAATTTTTATTTTCAAGGTTATTTAAAAACATAAAATAGTATCTTTAAGCATTTTGAAATATAAATAATAATTATTTACTTCGAGGCAGATCTTTTTTTAGTATTACTACTATCCATATTTTCTTCCGTCATAGTAGAATGTGTACATTAAATTATTTACAATTTATAATTAATCAACCATGCAAAACCGAGATTATCGTTTGTAATCGCTCGGAATTTTGACACGACACGATATGTCAAAAAACCTAAATTCTGAGGTTCTGTTTGTTTCAAGACTCAAAATAGAGCAGGAAGTCGTTCCCCCTTCCCTCATTTCTCTCCGTATTTCCCGTCAAAAATTACATAAATTATGAGGTTATGTTCATTTCAAGACTTTCAATATAGCCGCAAGTGGAGGTAGATTTCCTGCCAAAAATGACCTGAATTTAAAGGTTTTGTTCGTTTCAAGACTGTGAATATAGTCGCAAGCCACCCCTCCTTCCTTACGTTAAAGGATAGGTGGATTTTCCGCCGAAATTGAACTAAATTTTTAGGTTAAGTTATTTTGTCGGGAAACGACCAAGAAACAAGCATAACCTCAAAATTTAGGTCAAATTTTGAAGGAAAATGACCAAAAAACAAACATAACCTTAAATGTAGGTCAAATTTTAGCTGCAAAATAAAAAAAATTAGATAAATTTTGTTTTGAAAATTGAAAATAATAAAAATTGTTGTTAATAAAAATCGTAAATAACATTTAAAGAAATAAATAATAAAATATTAATAATAGTTTTAAATTCCAGAAATTGTCTAAACATTAACTCAAACATCTACAAAACCAATAAAAAATAGAGGGTTGGCGCGCGAAGCGCGCAGGGTAGCGAAGCGCGCAGGGTAGCGAAGCGCGCAGGGTAGCGAAGCACCCCTAGTACCTATATAAATATATATAAAATTACATATATATGTACATAAATATGTATATAAGAGCATATGTGACAGTCCCCGAGAGAAGGGACCTTAGCTCACCAAAACGAATTTCACAGGGCAAGCGTTTGAAGAAGAAGCAGAAACGCGGAACTCGAAGAGTGGGGCGGAACTTCTGAAAAGTTCCCCCACCACACTAACACAACGTTGT